GGTTTTGAAGGACGGATCTATCTGGACAGCAAAGATATGAGATAGAAGCATTTCAGACAGAGAGTAGACAGAAGTGCTCTTTTATCCCCTCTGAATTCTTAGAGAACTTTATACCTATGACCTACCTCTCCCAAGTGCCCTGAATCCCAGTTCTCATATACCTGCCTTATAACCATTATAACCACCTTGAGGCTAGGAACCATCTTGATTCTTTCTGTATCACTCACAGTACAGTGTCTGGTGCATGTTGTCTCATTGAATAAATAAGTGGGTAGTAGAAAAAAAAATCCTTTGAAAACCCAAATGACTTTATATGAAAGTGAAAGAGGGGAATGTTAGCCAGATCTGGGGTATTAGGATCTGGAAGATTAATTCCCAGTGGAAAATATTCAGGAATGGCAATGAAGAGCTAAGTAAACTGAATGTGTGCAATTCAGAACCCAGGAATAAGTAAGTATTCTAGGTCCATGGTGAGTCACCCTAGACCACACAGGAGGTGCCTTTTTGGTTGCTCCCAAGTAGGAATACAGACATAGCAGAGAAAGAAACAGACATAAAAACCACTCTCTTCTGATGTGGGTGACAAGAGCCTGAGGGACACCTAGTCTGGCAGAGTGAAATGCCAGGGCCAAGAGGGTGTGGTAGTAAGACTGTCTGGAGGCAGGGGAGGTCTCCACCTTGATGGTGTCCAGGGCGAGGTCAAGGACAGCACACTGCTTTGGAGTGAGACTCCGTGTTTCCTCTCGCACCATGTGGTCCTGGAACCACAGAGAAAGCAACAGCATCAGGTCAGCTTTGGGCTGTCATGAAAATCTTGCCCTTACCTGCCAACCCACAGCTTCATGGCACTCTCCTTTCCCTCCTCTTCAGTCTCCAATGCTTAAATTTCCTTCCTTCCTTCCAGGCAATCCCCTCCCCCCACCAGCCTCAGAAGGACTCCACGTATCTAGAGCAGCGGTCGCCAACCCTTTGGACCTCACGGACCACCAGTGGTCCGTGGACCACCGGTTAGCGACTGCTGATCTAGAGTACCTTGAGTTTGGAAAGATGGCTCAGCTCCTTGGCAGCAGTGAAGATCAGCTGAGTGCCCTGGGCAGAGAGGGAATCAGTCAAAAGCAGAAGACTCCAAACTCGAGCAGGAAGCGTGGAGCGAGGCAAGGGAGACAGCAGAAGGAAGTTGAAGGGAAGTGTCCTTACCGTGTGGTCAGTGAGTGGGGGCAGAACAATCATCCTTTCCATTGTGTTCAATACCACCCGCCAGAGCTCCTTCAGCACACGCTTCAGGACCGTCTTCTCACACACAGTGGCAAAGAGGGTGAGGCTGCAGGCCCAGGCAACAGGTAAGGCTGGGTGGGTGAATGAGAACCCCCTCCCCAAGAGGCTCCTCTGCCTTGCTTGTCCCAGAGGACAGTCCTGAGTACTGTACTCACTTGCCATCCAGGAAGTCCATGAGAGGTCGGAGCACGCTATCTGCATCCTGAGCCACTGAGGCCCTGGCGTTGGGGGATGCATTCCCTGGGCCCCGCACCTGGCTCAGGATGTCGGCCATTTGTTTAATGCAATCATCAATCCGCACCTGGAAACTACACATGTGCCCATAGTGCAACCCTCTCCTTCCCAAACACACACATTGGCCCTGGAGTAGCACCAGCTATTCGATCCTACTCCAGAACACTCGTGGTACAGCTTCCAACAGGGAGAGCCAATAGGACGAGACAGAAGATCCACACACCAGCAGCTGGATGGATGGGTGTGGGGCAGGAGCTTTGAGATTCATCAGGAACCACATCTGGCTCTGAGGACTATGTGTTTTGGGGCCACTGACCTGTTTCCAAACACCACGCTGAGCTCATCCAGAACTGTATTCAGTTTCACCTGCAGCTCCTTCAGACTGTCGGCAGCTTCAGAATCCAACTATATCCACAGGAGGTGGGCTTGGCTAAGCTGGTTCAATTACCCTTGTCTCCCATCCTGTGTCCCGACTCCTCCCTCCTTGGGCTTTTACCCCAATGCCTACTCAAATCTCTCAGCCCAAGCCAGCCCAGACCCCAAGCTAAACTCCTGGCCTACACCCAGTCAAGAAAGTGTAGAGTTCTGTGGTCAAAAAGCTAAAGAACAAAGGGAAAGTACAGCAACTCTAACCCCTAAGACCTACCTCCTTGCCTCCCATGGCCTCAAACATTTTCTCCAGCTGGACCCTCAGTTGCTGCATGTTGTTCATCAGGATGCAGGGCTTTGGGGACAGATGGAGCTGCTAAGTCTTGGCTTCGTTTAGCACAGGACCCATCAGCCTAGGGTTCCTCCCTTTCTCACACTACTCCGAAAGCCACAGGGAAATTACAACAGGTTTTACATGTGTCTCTCCCTAAGAGATCTGGAACCAATTCAGACAATTCTCTATGAATGAAGACTAGAGCAAATGTTTCTGTTTTTAAGCTGGGTGGTGGGCCCCAGGTGTTCATGGTGTTATCCTTTAAAACACTTTGACTAGCTCAACTTTTTTTTTACACTATTAAAAAAGAGACTAAGCAAAAGTCTAACTTAGTAGAGGCTAAAGAACCAAAAGGAAGCTCAGATGAACTCCTAGTCAAGTTCTTATTCTGTGGCACAATATCAAGCGAAGCCCTGCTGGGAATCAGAAGTCAGGAGCATCACTCCACCCTCAGCTCTAAGAATAGCTTCAAAAGGAAGGATTCAAGTGGCTTCCATTCCCTTCTTCAAGGGTCCCAGGGCCGGATCCTCACCATTTTCTCTTTTGTGCAATAAGCTGGGAAGTTCTTTGATAAGATGTCTGCATACTGCATCAGCACCTTTCTGATGGTCTGAGAAAAGAAAAAAGGAAAGAAGGAAACCTTAGCTCTCCCCACAAGGATCTTGCCTGAGAGGTCACACCTCTCATCCTAGAACAATACAACATAGAGGTAAAGTAGAATCTCACAGAAAGGACAAAGCCCCCTCTCAACCCCAGAACAGCACTGAGACAAACCCATCTATTCACCCTAGTCACAAACAAAGGATAATGGGGTAACCCAGGTTTTACCTCAAGGCCACCACAAAGAAGGGTTGAGCTCAGGCCTGTGACTAGGCTGTGAGTGGTGGTAGTAAGGGGAGGGGGAAGGGAGGGTCATGGTCACCTTAGTAAATCTCCTCATGTAGTGGGCAAGGATGTTGGGGTCTGGGCATTCCAGCTTTCGGATGATCTCAAAGCTCTGGTTGAGCTGTGTGAAGACGTCCACCACAGAGCAGGAAAAGAGTGCGTGCTCTGATGTCTGCTGGAACTAAGGAAGGCCACATACAGGGTCAGCATCTTCAGCGTCTACTTTTCTCCAAGTTCATAGGGTTCAAAAGGGCTCTTCCCAGTAGGGGTGGCTCAGTGGCCCTCAACCACCCTCCTTATGGACTCCTCAGGGCAGGAACAGCCAATCTATCTAAAGCCCAGGAACATTTGCTGACAGCTAATTGCTGGCCTCAACCCTGTGCAGCCCAAGCCCCTGACTTACCCCATCCTTCTTATCTCGTTCCAGGGCCCCATGTAGGAATTCCAGGGATACATCCTCATTCTCATCCAGCCATTGTAGGACAAACTGCTCAAACCACCTGCAGCCAGGAAAGATAATTGGGGCCTGGAGCTAGTTGTTGGCATATGCCATATGCCTGACAGCTCCCCCAGACTGGGATCTTCTGGAAAGTAGGACATGGTTTGACACTTTTCTCTTTCTATAGCAGTGCCCAGAACAGGTCTCAAGACTGGCTTATCGAACCAAATTGAGGATACTGGCCCCACCCCTACGCTAAGCCAGAGGGTCCCTCTTCCCTTCCCTCCATAGTGCCCACTTGATGACTCACGCTGGGTACTCAGGTACCTGCCCCTGGAGGGCAGGCAGATCCCGCACATATTCATTGTGGAGCCACTTCACCTTGAAGTGTAGGTTCATGTAGTCAGCACTCTTACACAGCCGGTCTTTCTCATGCTCTAGTGACAGGGAAGAAAGCTGGGTCAGGTCCTGGCAGTAGAGGCCTTGAGTTTTCTCAAGGCAGCTGATCCAGTTCGGCAGCTCCTCCCAACCACCTCCTCATAGCCATGTTCCCCCTACCAGGAGTGCTCTGTTCTCTAAGAGCCTGGCTCACTGGATAAAGTGTCGGCCTGTGGACCAAAGGGTTCTGGGTTTGATTCCAGTCAAGGGCATGTACCTTGGTTGCAGGCTCCTCCCCAGCTCGGGCCCTGGTCAGGGTGCATGCAGGAGGCAACCAATTAATGTGTTTCTCTCACATCGATATTTCTCTCTGTCTTTCCCTCTCTCTTCCACCCTCTCTAAAAAAACAAAAACAAAAAATCAATGGAAAAATATCCTCGGGTGAGGATTAAAAAAAAAAAAATGCAGAGATGAGCAGTTGTACATGACATGAATAGGTCACTGACAATACACAGAGACAGGGAAAACCAAAGTGGACCCAAGCTGACAGAAACTGCATTGAGCAGCCATGATGCAACAGAATCTTGATATAAACCGAAGGGTCCAAGAGCATAGCTGAGACCCTGAAAAATGAACTCTCAAAGAAGTTTGCAAATAAGAATAGTCAGTTTGGAAACCATGGATACACAGCCAGATAAGAGGCCCATCATGTTACAGAAAATGAGATGCTCATTTTGGACTTGAAAGGGTCCATAATTTCCAGCTGAATCTCCAAAGCCTTCTGGAAAATCTAGGACAAAGAGCACTCATAGCTTGCCCAGAGTCTGGAGCACTGGCCATAATCACAGGTTCTCGTCATCTACCCCCTTTATAGAAGAGCTTTCAAGGAAAGCCAGGCCAGGCAGCCCCCAGTGTGAGAAAAGAATCCTATTTATGTATTTAAGGGTCTATGATTCGTTAACGCTGTAAAGATAAATTTCCTAAGACTCTTCTCCAGGAAGTGAGCCACTTGTGAACACCCAGATGGGAGGAGCTGATTCCTGGGCTGGGAAACTGTAAAGATAAATTTCATAAGACTCTTCAGGAAGTGAACCACTTGTGAACACCCAGATGGGAGGAGCTGATTCCTGGGCTGGGAAAGTCTTAGGCAGGCACTTGTTCTCAAGCTGAAGGAATGAACCTATAGCCATTTACATTATTCATTTGGCTAAAGCTTTGTCTACCCAAGACCTCCTGAGGCCTATCACTCACTATGCCCGAATCCCTCTATTTCTCACTGTGTCATTCACCCTGAACTTGCAGTTGCTGGGAGAGGAAAGAGAAAGCAAACCAGGTGCTTGGACAAGGGGCCTGCAGCCCACTGCCTTGGGCACACCCTTACCCTCCAGTGCATATTTCATGTCTTGGGCAAAAAGTTGCCACATCACTTCTGCGCTGACTTTTCCCACATTCAGCTCCTGAGGAAACCTGGATGATGGAAGAAGGCCCAATCAGAAAACAAAGCAAGAACTATTTGATTTTATTGATTCCAAGGCTAATGTGCCCAGTTCTCAGAGGTCATATTGAAGAGAGGAGAAGCCTAGGAAACAGGGGTAGACTCACTCTGGAAAAAGGGGGTTCGGGGTCAGTCCTAGGACAAGTGGGGGCAGAGAATTCCCTCAGGCAAAATGGGCCCAGGGAAAGGATGCCCAAAAGGCAAGGAAGTAAGACCCAGAGGAGAAGGTTTGGGCTGGAAAGTAGGCCCAAACTAAATAAGCTGGAGGAGGAAGGGTAAGAGGTGGGCTATGAGGTGGCCCACTTATTCAGAGCAGACAGACACATACACACATGGTCTCTGGATCCCCTGGGACTCCTATTCCCAGAGGACTCTCACTCCAGGGAGGCTGGTGCAGTCTGGGCAGGGCCCCCCATTATGTTTCCACACCTGTCTCCAGAAACAGCTACCCAGACAGATACAAGGGACAGAGGGACAGACGGACGGACAGGAAGAAGAGGTGGCACTGCAAACATACAGAGATAGGAAAGAAAGAGGCTGTTAGACAGATGGACAAACCAACCACCAACCAGACAGGGCCGAGTAGGGTGATACTCACTGGTTCAGAACAAGTGTGTAGGAATTCTTATCTTCCTCTATGATTGACACAATGAGCGTGATAAGTTTGGGCCAGAAATCCAGGTTCCGAATGCTGGGCCCTTGTTCCTCGGCAGGTAGTTCCTGCTTCTTGTTCCAGAAGAGAGAGTTACAGACAGAGTCAGAGTAGAATGTAAACAGTGTCTCTAATCTTCCTTTCTTTCCCCTCTCCAAGCTTCTTCCTCTAGAATCAAGTACCCTTCCTAGAGTCTGTCTTCCACAGGACTGCCCCTGATATGTCAGAGGTGACTACTGGGAGGTCCTTGGACACAAAGAGTTCGTCCCGGTCCCCACTTCCTCAGAAGCTATGGGTATTGTGACTCCTTGACCAAAGTCTCACTGGTTCAGAACAAGTGTGTAGGAATTCTTATCTTCCTCTATGATTGACACAATGAGCGTGATAAGTTTGGGCCAGAAATCCAGGTTCCGAATGCTGGGCCCTTGTTCCTCAGCAGGTAGTTCCTGCTTCTTGTTCCAGAAGAGATAGTTACAGACAGAGTCAGAGTAGAATGTAAAGAGTGCCTCTAATCTTCCTTTCTTCCCCTCTCCAAGCTTCTTCCTCTAGAATCAAGTACCCTTCCTAGAGTCTGTCTTCCACAGGACTGCCCCTGATATGTCAGAGGTGACTACTGGGAGGTCCTTGGACACAAAGAGTTCGTCCCTGTCCCCACTTCCTCAGAAGCTATGGGTATTGTGACTCCTTGACCAAAGTAAGCAGCCCCTCCAGTCTCACTAAGTAGGTCTAGTTGCATGTGACCCACACTAGCAGCCCTCCTCTGAAACCCAGCCCCCACCCCCACCACATACATGCACATCTCAGCTCTGAGAAACTACTTCAAGTTTTGCAGGAGCTACTGAACAGACCTAGCATGCAGGTTGGCCTAACTGCCAATGGGTTAGGACTTCCCTTAACCCCTGGAATGTCCTTATGAGGAAGAACTGCATCTAGGAAGCTACTTGCCTAGCTGAATAAGAAAAGGCCTTGGGAAGCCAAGAATACCCAATGGGGAAAAGATAGTCTCCTTAATAAACGGTGTTGGGAAAACTGGATATTCACGTGCAAAAGAATTAAATTGGATTCCTATCTTATACCACTCACAAAAATTAACTCGAAATGAGAAAAAAAATACTATTTAAGAAATCAAGAAAAATATACAAAGTCATCAGGCACTAAGTTAGGATGCCAGCATAAAATAGGCGAAATAGGGCAGCCTTTCAGAGGACATGTCCAGCTGTGATATTCAGCTGACCAATATATCTCAGAAGACCATGCAGTGCAGAGAGAAGTGGTCAAAGGAAAAGTTAAATTTATATTAGCCAGTAGTCAGAGAGACAGCTATAGATCTTAAAGGAAGGAGACTGAAACATAGAAGGATCCATGAGTCAGAATAAAATTAATCTTGGGGGAGAAAAGACAACACTGGGATGGACTGCAAATTTACCCTCTGAAACTGCTCAAATTTTACTCATTTTCTTAAACTAAAACTTACTGTTCCCACTGTTGTTCAACTCAGTTATGACACACCTGGTCCCTGTCCATCCACAAATGTCTCACATGGTCTAGATCAGTGGTTCTCAACCTTCTGGCCCTTTAAATACAGTTCCTCATGTTGTGACCCAACCATAAAATTATTTTTGTTGCTACTTCATAACTGTAATGTTGCTACTGTTATGAATGGTAATGTAAATATCTGATATGCAGGATGGTCTTAGGCGACCCCTGTGAAAGGGTCGTTCGACCGCCAAAGGGGTCGCGACCCACAGGTTGAGAACCGCTGGTCTAGATGGTTCAAATCCTACAAAACTCACTCACCCTCAAGAACATTGGGACTTTGTCCTGAACTCCCTTCTACCATGACCACAGCAAAGGAAAGCTGAGGCTCCAAGAGCCACTGACAGCTGGTCCCACCTGATCCTGAACCTCTTACCAGCTGATACTGGTGGCTGTACAAGTCATGGCAGTTGTTGAAGATATACTCATATGTGGAGTTCAAACAGGCCTTCACACAATCCTTTACCACCTGGCTGGCTCTTGGAGGGCTCTGCAGTTCTTGCACCTGCCAATTAAGAAAAGGAATATGGGTCCAGGGTTGTGCTCACCTGGGTGGGGATCTTCTCCTAGAACTACCTCTAAACTAGTCCAGATTCCTTCATCCCTCCATGGGTTCCTGGACCTTGCCCTGAATTTAAATTGCCAAGATATCTGATGGGGAGAACTGCCAAGCCCATCCTTATTGATCCATTGTGTTCATCAAAGTAACTCAGGGAACAAATGTATGGAAATGTGGGCTTAGAGGAGATGATTCCTGTAGCCTCACACTGTGCCAAATTATTCTTATTTTCCATATCCCTGTGGCCAGGTCCCCAGACCAATTCATCTCTTACCTTCATCCTGAAGAAAGTGATGCTGGTCAGCAAATCCACTGTGGACTTTAAGTCTTGAAGCCGCTCAGGACTCCCAGCAGGGAAATTATTCTGTTGTAAATCAAGCAAATGCAAGAAAGGAATAGAGAAATATGAAAGCCTTCCCTTCCAGAAGTAATGAAATAAAAAACTTCCCTAACTGCTACCCACTGGAATTTTTCCTAGTTGAGATGGACAAAAAAGCTGTAAACTGAGATAGACAGGCCTTTGCCAAAAGCAAGGGCTAATAATCCCAGCCCAGAAAGCAATGCTTCTTCCCCCCAACCCTACTTCCCATGCAATGTGTGTGCATTTGCACAAATGAACACACACGCACACACACACAAACACACACACACACACACACACACACTTACATACACACACTTTTCTTGGGTGAAGATTCTTACACCCAAACAGTAAGTTCTTCAAAAGTTACACTCTAACTGTATATCCTGGAATATAAGTGTAGCCACACTCCAGACCAAGACCTGTACTTCCTGTACAACGGGCTCCAGCTATTCCTCTGTTCTGGAGCCAGCAGATGGCAGAGCTCTGAGCAGAACTGCTTTTGGAGTGAGTTCCGTAGGATGTTCCGGCCGTGCTTCACTTCATCCCCTTTGACATGAGTTTTAGGAAGAAGTTGCCAATGACAGCTGAAGGGAGATGTTGAGCCACTCCCCATATTAAAAACCACTTATTTAAACCTTCCTATAGCTACTTATATGCCAACTATAAGATATACAGTCAACTCTCCATTATTCGTGCAAATGGAGGGCACTAGAAGTACAGATCATTAAAACCTCATTTATTTTTTTTTTTACTTTGAGGTTATTTTTATACTTACTTTTTAATGTGGATATATTGCCTGTCCTGGAAATTCACAGCAATTTAAAGCAAGTAATGAATCCATTCTAAGAAGATTTAACTTAGGAAGAATTGAAAAACTGCCCCTTTCCCTGTCCTGCCCATTCCAGGTACCCACCCTCCTACTATATCTATTTCCTCCCTCCATCCTAGGAATGAGATGACTTCTGCTACAAATTACTTGCCCAAGCCAAGCTGCTCTCTCTCTACCCTTAGCTGGATTCTCATACCTCCCCTGAAAAGTGAGGAGAATATGGGATAATGCAAGAAAGAAACATAATTATCTAATTTTTAAAGGGGCACTACTGGAAGAGATTTATCCTCAGGAGACTCCCTAATGAGAATATCATCAGACAATTTTGTAGAGTTAAGTGAGTGGGGTTGGAAAGCCACTGTCTTTAAAAAGCAGCCACACCTACTGCTATCACACACTGCGTGGTCCTTGGAGTTTGCAGAACCACAGGTGTCAGTGGCATTGGCCATGCACATGGGTGTGATGACGCAGACCAATTTTCCTTGCCTTCAACTTTTATAGCCAAGAATGGCGTACAGTCTCTCTAGACTGAGCTAATATTATCTCTTACCCAGCCCCACAGCCATGTCTTCACTCACCCTGTATGTAGAGAGGTCAATTCTCAGGGAGTTGTGGAGCTGGTCCAGTAGTTTCACAAATCTCTCTTTCTGACAGTGGGAAACAAATAAAGAGAAATAATCTGTTTCTGAGCTCCTAAAACTATAAAGAAACTGAACCACCTCTGGGTGAGGAGGAGACATTGGTTGGGGACACATCACATCCATCTCTCCTCATGAGGAGAATAACAACATGTAAGGGAGAAATACAATTGGTGGTCTCTGTTCCATCTCTTAGCAGCTCTGTCTCAAACTGGGCAATCTTTTCACACTGGCAAGGAGAAGGCAGTCCCTGAGAGGGAAAACTGCTCTTTCTGTACAAGAGTCAATAGGAGATGACTAGAGAATGTAACCTCCATCCCTTTGAAACTCTAACTCATCTTAGTCAAATAAAGGGAAACTCCAAACATTCTCCAACTTGTTCCTTAGTCTGTGGTCTCCTGACTTATCTTGGGGTAGCTCAGACGAGTTAGTCACAACCCAGCAGTAACAATGGGAGGGAGAAAGAGTGATGTATTTGGAAGGTGATCAGGTAGTCTTGAGTGGCTTTCTCTTTAAACCACATCTACATCATTTCCCTCAGTTTATATAACATATACTAATTTAATAGTTGATTTTTAAAAAAATATATTTTATTGATTTTTTACAGAAAGGAAGGGAGAGGAATAGAGAGTTAGAAACATCGATCAGCTGCCTCCTGCACACTCCCCACTGGGGATGTGCCCGCAACCAAGGTACATGCCCTTGACCAGAATCGAACCTGGGACCCGTGAGTCCACAGGCCGATGCTCTATCCACTGAGCCAAACTGGTTAGGGCATAGTTGATTTTTATAGGAAAGGTATAATTAAATGTGGAATCACATGCCTATACGCTGTGGCATAGCACTCCTAGAATGCATATATTGATTATATTATACTAGAGGCCTGATGCACGAAATTCGTGCAAGGGACTTGGCCCTTGCAGCCCCAGCTGCGGCCACCCTCTACGGGGCAATCGATCTCGGCCCCACCCGCCGCCCACTGGTTGTTCCTGAAGGTCATTCCGGAAGGTCGTACTGCTGGTCTAATTAGCATATTAGCTCTTTATTATATAGGATTAGAGGCCCAGTGCACAAATTCATGCACATTGAAAAGAAATTAATTAGAAGAAATATTTTAATATTGCTATTCGCCCTTTCTCTATACTAGTAATAGAAGTGTCAAACAAATTCACAATCGACAATGACAGATCGAAACACACACATGCGATTGGCACCAGTGAGAGCTTTATATATATAGATAAACTTGCTTAATTAGACCTGCTTTCTGATTTAGCTAAACTTTTTCCAGCCCAGTGAAGTACCTCAACTTCTCTTTCAGGTAATTGTCAGCAACACAGCAGTAAATATCAACACGAAGCAGATTATTATTGTAGATCACGCAGGGAGAACAAAGGGTAAAACATTTAACTACAGCAGTGTTTGACTATATTCTGTGCAGTGAGAAAACCTGAAGTCATTGTCAAGGTCCACCATTTCTTACTTCTTTTCAGTCAGGTCAAGTTTCTAAACTTTCTAAATCTCTGTTTTCCGGCTAACGAAAAGAAAACAGGATTCTACCGAGTCTCCTATCTACCTACTCCAGGACTTCTGTGAGGATCAAATGAGATGAGGCATGGGAAAACGCTTAACAGGCATTTGGTTAAAGTGTAAAATGTTTACACTTGGCTATAAAGCAAGATGTGTTCCTGGGCTGAAGAAACTCCAAGGAGGCTAGTTGCTAGGAAGAGGAAGCTGGGCGTTGCTATGTGATGTCATTACCCAGCGCCCACAGCCACTGTTTTGGGCTGGGCTGGGCTATGGGCCACATTTTGTGCCATGGGGTCTTAGCAGCATTGGCTGCAATTTGGTGGGCTGTCTCTCTGGGGTGGTGGCGGGGCCCGTGTCCCACTTGGGGGAAGCCCAGTGTTGCTTTGTCAACGCCAGGTCCACGATGCCATTTTTTTGTAAATGGCCAGTGCACGTCACAGCAGCTCCTATGTTGAGCGTCTGCCCTCTCGTGGTCAGTGTGCATCATAGCGACCGGTTGGAGAGACACTTAGCATATTAGCCTTTTATATATATAGATATCTTTGAATATTAAGTCAATATATAATGGGACATAACAGAATGAAACAAAGGCTTAATCAATGATATTAATTCATCTATAGAAAGACTCTCTTTAATAACAAGAAAAAGTTGTTAGGTCCATAAACAGACCTAGTGGATTTGGGGGTATCAGTGATTTTATGCCTAAAGAGGTCATTTTTGTGGTGGGTCAAAGATATTTCATCTAATTTATATTTAAGTTATGTCAGGTGACATTCTGAGTAAAGATTCGACTTCTCAAGTACCTTAACATAGGAAAGGGCACACCCTGAATAGAAAAAAACAGTCCAGACACTAGAAAAGTGATAGGCTGAGTATACACTGATATTCTTGCTTAGGCAATAGTCTCATATGAATTTAAGTGGTATGAATCTGTCAGAGAGAGACTGAGTAATATTAAGAAAGATCCATTTGTGGACCTGTAGGACTAACGAACATGATGATTCAGCCACACTCTTGGCCTAGAGAGGTTCTCCCTGAGCCCAGGTGTGCCCCCCAAACCATAGTGATGCTCTTTTTCTCTCATTTATCTGTGTCTGAGGAGAGTCTATTAGTAAGTCAACATATCCATAATGAAATAAGAATAGTCTATCAGCATCGTCTGCATACTCATAAGGAAACAAATTCACCTATCTAGGTGGCATCTATCTGAATTTTAGGCTCATCAACCAACTCTACAGTATTGACCATGAGAAATCAAACTTTGTTAATTGATAACAAATGGGTAGATATGTTTTATATCATACTCACCCCAAAGTTGGAGGCTGCGAAGCGATCAGATGCAGAGACATTAGTGGAGGCAGTTGTGTGGGCATAGTAGGCATTGATGTTGGCGAGTAAGGTGCTCATCACTGCTGGCACACCAGGACACATGTACTTGGATGACAAACATGCAAAGTGCCTGAAAAACAGCACCCTCAGCCTCAAAGACTCTTCCGGGCTTTCAGGGGAAGACAAGTAATTAAAAGATCTCACTGATGTGTATAAAGCTTCCAATCACCTTGATATAAAAGGATCTTCATAGTTCATTTATTCAAATACACATTCAATAAATGCCTACCATGTGCCAGGCCCTGTACTAAGTACTAGAATCCAAAGATGTAATAGCCCAGCCCTGGCCGGATGGCTCAGATGGTTGGAGTGTCATCCCATACACCAAAAGGTTGTGGGTTTGATTCCCAGTCAGGGCTCATACAGGAGGCAGGCAATCCATGTTTCTTTCTTTCTCTCTCTCTCTCTCTCTCTCTCTCTCTTTCTCTCTCTCTCTCTCTCTTTCTCTCTCTCCCTCTCTTTCCTTTTTCTTTTCCTTCCTTCCTTCCTCTCTCTCTCTCTCTCTTTTCCTCTCTCTAAAAAAAGATCAAAATAAACATATCCTGGGGTAAAGATTTTAAAAGCCCACAAAGATGAGATGGCCAGGCAGAGAAAGTATTAGAAAGTAAGTCAATAATTCAAGGTGTGCTATGCAGAAACACCATAGAAACATACAGGAAAAATCACCTAAATCAGAATGGTTCAGGACTGGAAGGATCAGAAAAAGGCTTCCCAAAGAAGAGATGGTTGAAACAAGTCTTAAAGGATTAGTAAGAATTAATCAAATGAAGAAATGTATACACAAAGGGAAATAGCATACAAAAAACAAATATATTCATGACGGAGTGATTTATTTGGGAAACAACAGTTTGGCTATTGTTAAGGTGTCTGATAGAGGAATGCCAAGAAATGCAAGAGAAGTAGGTAGAGAATAGATAATAAAAGAGTTTATCCTAAATGCTAAAGTAAATTTTTAAACAAAAGTATAGTGTGATCCGATTAGTCTTTCAGAAAGGTCCCTTTGATGATAAATTGTAAAGAAAAGACTAGGATAAAGATAAGAATAAGACAGAAAGATCACTTGGAGAGTTACTGCAATAATTCAGAAAAGAAGCAATGAAGCACTAAATAGAACAGAAAAAAGGTTAAGAGCACAAACTCTGGAGTCAGACTGTGGGTTTGAATCTCACCCCCACCATTCACTCTCCTTGGATAAATTACTTAAAGTTCTCTATGTCTCAGTTTTCTTATCTGTAAAATGGTTAATAATGATACCTACCTCATGGGGTTGATATGACTATTAAATGAGTTCACATTTATAATATGCTTAGACCAGTGCCTGACACATAAGGAAATGCTATATACAAGTTATTATTATCATTATCATTATTGTTGAGCTATAGTAATAGTGATAGATTAAAAACATTTTTAGGAGATAGAAACTAGAGGTTTTAGAAACTGGATGTTGGGAGTTAAAGATACAGTAGCAAGTAAAAAAGAAAAGTTTAGGCTGACTCCTAAATTTTTTTGGACAACTGCATAGAAAATCATACCATTTACTCAAATAGAGAATATACGAAGATAAGCATATTGGGTGAAGACAGTGCTGATTTGGAATTTAGGCAGGCTGGATTTACAATGCCTATGGGAATGAATACCCAGGAAGCAGCTGAAAATGGATCTGAAATTCAGGAAAAGGCCTGATCTGGAGAAAGTGACCTGGGAATCCTGATCCTAAAAGTAATGGTTGAGGTCACAGGTTGGGATAAGATCATCTAGGGAGAGCGAACAGATAAGAATGTCAGAGGACCATTCTTAAACCTCATTGCTCACCATATTTCTTCTCTTCGTCTATACTGAACTTCTTGTAATTCCTTGATTGTCCTTTGCTCTGTAGTATCTGAGTACCCCAGTAAATGCCCTACCAAAAGTGCCCTCCCTCCTTTTCTGTATTTCAAGATTTAGTTCAAGTGTCAACTCTTTAATGGCTTCCTTCACAGGCCTCCCCTAAAATGCAGATGCTCTCATAATACCCTGGGATTATTTCTATCACAGCACTTATCACACTGTATTGTAATTGCTTGTTTTCTGGTCCATCTCTTCTGCTAGAATAAGTTCCCCAAGCACAGAGGCCCCATCTTACTCATCTTTGTGTTCTCAATACCTAGCACAATGTGTGGCACATAGAAGGAACTCAATACAAATTTCAGAATAAATGAGTACAGCCAGGGCAACAGTTGCCCTCTGCTTACCTAGGGCTGCTTCCTGTGCAGCCTCACCAATAGACAAACTGTACTTCTCATAGTAGATGGGAATTCTATTATAGGAGGAGTCCTGGTCAACTCCAGCTGCTTTCCCTACAGTTCAGTGCCCTTTCCAACATCCACGCCAATCTAAGAAAGCTGGTCTGTCACACACATATAGATGAGCACACATGCCCTATCTCCTCAGGCCTGTGATGTTTAGGCAGGTTTGTCTTTGCATACCCTCCCGTGCCCTTGTCCCTTCTGTCTGAACTCTGGGGTAGACAGACAAGTACCTTCTTCCTGAGTCATTGATAAACACACTCCCTTTATACATATACCCTCTTTGCCTTGGGGCATACACGTACCTGACTTAGCTCAGAGAGGGAAGCAATGAATCACTGCATATTACCCTGCTAAGGAACTGTCTACCATATCAGTGTGCCTTCATTAGCCACCCCAAGGGTTAGTAGCCACATCCCAAAACCCCAGGAGAGTCTCACGTCATGGCCTGATATATAGATTCGATGCCATAGCGCATAGCAAATTCATCCACAATTTCTTGGGCAGTCTCATCAAAGTACACCTTCCAGGCATCGTCTCCTCGGGCCTCAGGGATCTGGACTCCTCCATTGCCCTGAATGTCTGTGAGGTAATGGAAAAGGTTCTGCAGAAGACAGAGCAAAGGAAGGAGTTAAGTATATAGTTTAAAAAAATCTGGTGGTAAGGTCCAGGGTTTCTCAGAAATTCTGTCCTTCAGGTCATCGCTCAGTTCCTCCTGTGGCCCTAGTAGGCTGTTAGTGAAAGAGAACTGAGGCTGGGACTGTTACTTGGGCTGTCTAGTAGCACAGTAAGCCAAGGATAAAATAAAAAACAGGCTCCAAATCTTCAACCATCTAGCAATCCTATTCATTATCAAAGGCCCCTCCCAGCATTGCTTTCTAGCACCCCATCTACCAAGAGCTGGCTCACCTCATGGAGACACGTGTACTGCACATGATACGGGGCAACCTTCTCCTCACCCTTGATTTCCACATTGATTTGTAGTCGAATAGCCCCTGAGACGGCTGATTTATCTGTCCTCTTCTCTAGGAAGGAAAGAAGATGGAAATTGACACCAATGCAACTACAGACAGCGTGGACAGTTACCACTCTGGCTTAACCCAATGAAAAGGAGGCACTAACTCCAGGGTTCACCTAACAGGGTGAACTCACTCGAGTGACCATATAGTCCACAAACACCCCAAATATTCCCAATAGGAACCCTCCTGTTCCATTAGAAGAATATGGAACTAAAGGCACTGGGATGTGTATGAAGATTAAAGGGATTCTTGAAATCTGGAGAATGTCCAGCCAGAACGAGTTCAAGCCACACCCACTCCTCTGTCCCCCATCTTTACCCATGGTCGGTTCTCTACAGGGAAGGCAGGTTCTGCATAGAGGTATGCTTTAGCAATTGAGTGGTAGTTTTGGTAGACAGCATTTTCTCTAAGTTCCTCATTCATTCTCTCCCTTCCCACCAACTTTCTCTGGTGCTGTTTCCTCACCCAGGTTGTACCAGACATCCATCTCGCCACTCAGTGTCCGAACCTCGATGATGGTTTGGCCAAGAAAATCATCAGACTCTCGCTTTAGCCGCTGCTTTACTCTCGACTTGATGTCATCATCCTCATCCCACACACGTACCTTAATCCGGTCAGAAGAGTTGTGGCACTCACTGTGACAGAATTAGGCAGGCTCTGTTAGGGACAGACCCAGCAACCCCCATTCCAATTCCCTCCCAAAGCTCCATCAACTACACTTGAAGCCCTAGAGAGGCAGAGAAGGAGTTAGAGAACAGTGGTACTAAAGTTCCACAGGAGTCAAGCTATCCCAGCAAATGGCTCTTCATTCCTCAGCCTGGGTGGCTCTATATACCATTATCCAGTCCTTGTTGCCTTGGGATTAAAAAAAAAAAAAAAAAAAAGAAAGATTGATGAATTTAAAGATTGACATTATTTAAACAGAAACGAAATTAAAAAAATTAAAACTGTGAATAGTCTAAGAGGTCTGTGCAGTATCATCAAGTGTACCAACAGCATAATAGAAATCCCAGGCAAGGCAAGAAAGAGGAGGAAACAGTAGTAATCAGAGATAATTCTGATTTCCTGTGCAGCTAGCTATATCAACAGCACCCAGAGGAAAACAGCTGGACAGATGCTACAGAGCCCTAGGAAGCAACTGCTAGTTCCCTCTCCAGAGTTAGTAAAGGTGTTAATGTTCATGGCATGTCCACCTTGTCATATCTACTTAACTTTCTATCTAGCTCCTCCATGTATCTACGTATGTGCTTGGTGAACTTCTATCATTCTTTAATACCCACTTGAATGATCATTTCCTCTATGGTGTTTGCTCTGGAGAAGGGAATTTGCCCAGGTCCCAGCCCCTTCCACCTCTTTCCCAAACAGTTGCTTTCTGGGTCCTGTTGCCTCACCCAAAAGTTGCACTTGACAGAATTTGCTGCTCCTTTCTCTGTGTTCTCATAATATCTTTGCATGTTCATTAAAATATAATAGTATAACTACTGGTGTACTGATAAAATAATAAACAAATCAACAATGAGCTTCTTGAAACCAGAGACTGCCTTATTCATTTTTAGATACAAAATATCATGTACAGTGTCTTGTACAGAATAGGGGCTTGATGAATAGTTTACTAAATGGATGAAAGTGGGAAAATTGACAACAGAGTCAATTCATTTAGAATAAATCATAAGAAGGATTCAAGCAAGAACCATTCAGATTCTCAAAAAACCAAGTGATCCCCCAGTAACTACTGCCTCTGGATTGGAGAGTGATTTTACTAGGCCCCAATCAATCCCTTTTCACATGAGTTCTCCAAGGAGCCAACAGAAGGTCTCTATATGGCCAGCCTGCTTAGCTCATCCAGACTTCAAGTCCTGGTCCTGGGCCTTAGGGGTGTGACAAAGCATCTCGATTCTCCAGACATTAGTCCAAATCCCAGACTAGAGCTTTCAACAACCATCTCTTACTATCTTATAAAGTAGTCTAATAAAGTGAGATAATAGGAAAAGAATTGGTGGGATTGGGAGTTGGGTGGGAATGGGGGGAGCTGAGGCAGAAAGAAAAGCAGAGCCCTTTTAGGTAAAATGGAAACTCCTCCAGACTGCTTATTTCTTCCTTCAAGCCAGAAATACCCAGTTGTAGGACAAGGACATTTCTTCCCCATTTCCCAGAATAGCCTAACCTTTCCCAGGCATGGTGGCAGTGCTGGGAGGTACACAATAGGGTGGTCAGTCCCTGGTCCTGTAACTGAGCAGTAGTAAAATCTTTCTAATGCTAGAAAAAGCAGTATGAAGTGCCCAGGATCCCCGTTAATAACCCTAGTTAAGATAGGGTTTGGGTAAAGTAACCCTGATACAACAGTCCATGAGAAGAAAACCAGAAAAAAATGGCTGCTGCCCAACTAAAGCATGTGAGAAATGGGTTTTCTCCACTGTCTCTGCCCCATCCCTCTTAGGGGCCAAGCCCAGAATAACAGGATTTAGTGTTGCTCCCCAAATATACATAGTACCAGGTAAGACAAAGACCTCTGTGACTTACAAATGGAACTTCTCCTCCCAAACAGGATTCAGATTCCCAAAAATGGTCTTGGTACGCTTCTTGGTTTTACCCACTTGCACAGTCACATAAGGGTCACTGGATCCTGTCTTGTCCTTGGCTTGCAGGCCCTGAGCACACACCACTGCAACCCAAATACATAGAGGAGACTTCAAAGTATGCTCCAGAAGTCAGAAATCCTCCAAAGCATGACTCATACATTCTCCATCTTAGAAAAGCCTCTCTCTGCTTCTTGCACAGGAACTCCTCCAGATCTACCTTTTGTCCCAAGCCACCAGTCTTTCCTTCAAAGCCTAGTTCAAGAATCTCAGCTCCCCATCAAAACCCTAACTGACCACTTACCCCTAAACTGTTCCTTATCGTCTCTGATGGATGCACCCTTCAGCCACATCCACCCAGCTAATATAATTAGTCCCTGGTTAACTATTTCCTGATCTCCTACCAGTCCCTTCTCCTCCACCCCCAGCTCTTGTATTATCAGATTGTCAATCAAGTCCATAATATCAGATTATTACCAAATCCTTCAGTTATCACTCATATTGTTTGCAGGTGCCAGTCTTACCTCTCCCAGCCTCCTAGGAGAGAAGGAGTGATGAATAATGAGGCCCTCTTTCTTTCCCTCAGTTCTGTCTTCTTTCTTCCCAGCCCTCTGGCTCCTTCACACTCAGGTGACTTCTTCCCTAGGCTCCTCTCCATAGCCTAGCGCTTCCTGTCTCCTTACACTTAGGCCTACTCACCAGTGATAGTAATCTTGGCCGACCATTTGGAGGTGCCATCCAGTACACTCTGCTTCACTGTTTTCATCTGTTGCACATGGGCAACTTTGCTCACAGTGAAGACATCCCGGATAACTTCAAAGATCTCAGGCTTATTACGCTCTCGGATCTTCATGCGGTCCTTCATGGCCATGATAATGTTCTGGGTCCGGTCCTCAGCTCCATGTTTACAGCTCTTTTCTGCAGCCCCTGAAGGATGGCCAGAGACAGAAAGTAAGATAACCAGCAGGCCATCTATAAGATTAAGGGTCAGATTGAGGAATGCAGTCTGGGAGAGGTCACTGAGGAGTGGAAGCAGCTTCGGAAGACTGAGATATCTCTGGGAAAAGCTCATCACTTATGAGGCCTGCTGAAGTTTAAAATGCAATTCAAGCCCTGACTGGTTTGGCTCAATGGATAGAGCGTCGGCCTGGGGACTCAAGGGTCCCAGGTTCGATTCCGGTCAGGGGCATGTACCTTGGTTGCAGGCACATACCCAGTGGGGAGTGTGCAGGAGGCAGCTGATCGATGTTTCTCTCTCATCGATGTTTCTAACTCTCTATCCCTCTCCCTTCCTCTCTGTAAGAAATCAATAAAATATATTTTTAAAAAAATGCAATTCAAAGGATAGCAAAAACTTGAAAAATGTTATGGGGGTTTATTATATTATTCTATTTTGGTATATGTTGAATTTTTCATTAAAAAAAAAAAGAAACAAAAAAATATAGCTCAGTCTGCAGTTGGTTTTATCTTTCTTCCACCTAGATGGTGGTTGAGACAGATACTCTTCAAGTCTAAGGCTCAAATATCACCAATTGATATCACAGTTATCATGGAGGGGTGGTGGGTGGGCATGACAACTCCACCAATCTCATCCAACTTCCAAACCATGATAGAGACCCCAGAACTGGTCATAGCACACAGTTAAGTTCTGTCCCATGCTCCAGTGCCTTTAATCAGAAAATAGTTTGGTATGGTGAGAAAAATATGGCCAGACAGAGTTAGGTAACAGACAGAGTTAGGTTCAAATCCAGATTCCAGTACTCCTAGCTGAGTAAACTGGTTTCTTTTAAGAGAAGAAAACATCACTTTTCTCTCAGGGTTCTATGAAGCATTACATCAACATGTATAAAGCATCTAGCCCAGTAATGGCGACACGCGAACTCATTTTTTTGGTTGATTTTTCTTTGTTAAATGGCATTTAAATATATAAAATAAATATCAAAAACATAAGTCTTTGTTTTACTATGGTTGCAAATATCAAAAAATTTCTGAATGTGACACGGCACCAGAGTTAAGTTAGGGTTTTTCAAAATGCAGACACGCTGAGCTCAAAAGGTTCGCCATCGCTGAATTCTAGCCCAATGGCTTGCACCTAGCAGGTACTCAATAAGTGGTCACTGTTATTACTATCATCATTATTATCTTGGCAGGATGGCAAGGGCCATCATCACTAGCTGTGACCCCAGCCAACTCATCTCGAAGACTAGCAGACTTTCCCTGCTGCCCTAAGAATTATGAAAGAACACAGACTCCTCCAGTATAGTTCATTAACCAGGCTTCTCAGAAACCATCCTTCAGCTTTATCAGCCCTGCAGACTGATTCTTACCTCTCTCTATTCTCCAAAGGCTTAGGCCTTTACTACAAAACCTAGAGAAAGAAAAAAAAAGGGGGGGGGGGCCAACATCTGCATCCTAACCGTGGGAGGATGACAAGCAGGTTTTCTCTCCAGGGAGGCCCATAAAAAGGCATTTCATTACACTATGTGCTTCACAGAAACCTTAGGCAGAAGGTATTTGCTGATAAATGAAAATTGACCTGGGCTGCATCCATTTAGCACATCCTATGCCATGCTACGCCCTTGGATTGGAACTTCTGAAAGGCCCTTGAGAAAATCGACACTCTTGCTACACAGCAGCATTACAGAAGGTTTCTGGCAAGCAGCCCACTTGGCTGCTAGCAATTAATGCAAAGACCTGTTGTTTAAAAGCTGCATCCATAAGCATGGAATAAATGCTGCCTTCCCTGGATCCTAGGGTCTATACTTCAGGAAGTTGCTCTCTGAGGCCTAACACTGAGAGTTCCTCTCACAGAATTCTCTTTCCTCATTAGTTTTGGTCCCCAATTAAACATGCTCTAGTCATTTAGGAACTGTGGCCACTGTGGTGTGTACACTACTCAAGTGCAGCCTCTGGGATCATCTGAATCCTGAAGAGATTCTAGTTCCACCAAAGGGCCTTAGAAAACTCAAAGAATTCTTCCTAAAGGTGCTTAAGAAAGTGCTATAAAACCAGTTATTTGGAAAGGCCATGCACTTGACTCAGGGCTCTACATTCTCTGAAAAGGAAAGAGCTTCAGAATGAGGTAGGCGGGAGGAATGACGTCCAGCCATCCTAGCTCTTATCTGACAGATTACTCTGGAGAGGCCCTGCCGCTCGTGCTCCCCACCCCTCATCCCACAAGAGCACTCACGCTGTAGGCAGTCGGCGTTGAGCAGGTCCTGGCACTTCTCATGGCACTTGACTCCACACTCGCTGCAGCGCATGCCCTGCCGGGCAATGCCCCAGAGCAGGCCTTCGCACTCGTAGCAGTAGGTCGGGGTAGTGGCAGTCCAGACCTCAAAGTTGTGGGGTGTGGTGCACGAGATGGGGTAGATTAAGGCCTGCAGGGTTTTCTTATACACATGGGATTTCTGAAAGATACATACCATTACCCACCAGTTACTTTACGTCTCTGATGGGAGATACCAGAATGAGACCTTGTAGGGCAATCAAGACCATGGTTTCCCCTCTGGTAGTAGAGAAGATGCTCTAGAATGACGCAGTGCATAGTCCAGCCTGGCAGAAAGAAGCCCCCATATGTTGTGTGCTCCAGGTCATGAAAGACAGGTCTGACCTGAATACTGATTCTGAGCCTTGCCCCAGCATTCAAGGTTTCTTGGGAAACATAGGGTTCTAGACCCACTATAATACCCCGAGTTCAGTGGTCCATACTCCCACATGAGACTTGGGCTTAACCCTGGTCTGGTCCCTCGCCTTTCCCAGTGTGGAAGACTGAGAGCCAGTGCTATCTATCTGTTCCATTAACGATGTATGCCCTACACTGTTGAGTTCTCAATTCGTACGGCTACAGAGGTGATCACCAGTGGATGGCTAGATCTTTAGGCCAGTGGATTCATGAAAGCCCAGGGGTCACTTACCAGCTCTTCATCCTTGAAAGAGGTACGGGTAGCCATTGCAGAAGTAATCCCTGCCTTCCGGGACTGGACCAATGACTGTAAGGGAAGACATACTGTCAGTCCTGGCTCCCACCAAGGACTGGCAAAGTCCTGGGAAGGGAGTTTCAGTGATCAAAGCAAACTGACTATAACTTACTGCCTTCTATTTTTACCCATGGATAATAGATAACAGCATCCCAGGTTAAGATCCAATACCCAAGGCCCTCAGAGGACTGTTCTAACAATATTAGAAAAGCACTTCTCTTAGGGTACCTATCATCCAAAGGTATCTTACCCCTTGTTTATAGAAAGGCAAAGAAAAATGAAAAGTTTAGAATTACAGTAGGAAGTAGGTCATTAAGAATAGAATAAACACACAACTCTGTCAGAGTTACATTCAAGAGCCATCCCTGAGAACGATTCCATGCTATCATCTATCCCCTGGTACCACATCATGCCCACACAATCCCAGGTGGCTTTAGATGTCAGCAGCTCAAATGAGCGGGGAACTACGAAAGTAAACGGGGCAATGTACCCTCAGCCAAATCAAGCAGGGCAAGGGGGTAAGTATGAGAACTAGGGCTGCGCCCTGCTAGCCTGTCCCTTGTATAGAGGGGCCTCATGTATGCCAAGCCCAAGCATTCGGGGCAGCCCATGAAGAGGCACATGGTTTCCCTAACGTAGTGGACACTGGGCAGACAGAATAAAAATATTAGTCTAAGCAGGAAGAACAGTTAGGAGGGGCCGGGTGGTTTGAAATATAGATTCTTAATAGTGGTTAGAAAGGGGCTCTGGAGACACTCACCATTGCCTGTGCAGAGGAAAGCAGAAAAAGGAACAACATGATGTTAAAGCTACCCCATGGGCATTAAAACCAAAAACACCTTCAGAGGCAACTGAGAGGTTCTTCTCTATAGTCCAATGTAGGAAACACATTCCAAAACTCTCTGCCTCTATCCAATGGAATTGTCTTCAATTCAACAGGTAGCCTGGGTGTAAGGCCTAGAGCTTCTATTAGAAGAGTTATGCCAGAAAGTGAAATATAGGAAAGATTAAAAGATGGAGGAGGGAAAATAAGAACTGAATAAGACGCTGCTATCCAAACAGTTAAGCAAAGAGGAGGTGGTGGGCAAGAGGGAGTAGAGAATGAGAAAAAATAGGGAGAAAAGAAAGAAAGGAGAGAAAAAAGGGGAGACAGAAGACAATGAAAGACTGTAATAAAGAAGAGATAGCATCAGAACGTATCTTCATCCAACCAGCTTGATGAAGAGTTGGTGGGAGAAGAGGTGCATTTGAAAGGAAGAAAAAAAGAAACAAGAAGATACACAATAGTAGGAAAGAAAAAATGATTAAGAGAAAATGGCAGAGGATAGCTCCATTCAGCCAACTAAAGAGAAAGAAACTCGTGTGTGGAAAAACAGCAGAGAATGGAGGAGAAACGAGAAAAGAGGTGGACAGAAAAACAGACTGAATAGGGAGAGGAAAAGAGGAGCAGAAATGGTAACAAGAAAAAGGGTAAAAGTCTTACTGAACATCTAGTTTCAGAGCTCTGGGAGAGCCTGTACTCCACTCTATCCCCACTATCCACTCTGTTATGGAAAATTCCTTGAGCTAATCCTGCCTCAGGACGTACAACCCAAAACGAGAATTTCTGATCATCCTGGAGGTCCTGAGATCAGCTTTAACTCCTAAGCCCATTTCAATTCAATTCTACAAATTTTTATCATTACCTCTCAGTGACAGACACTAAGAAGAACTAGGGGCACAGAGATAGTCTAGAAAGCCTATGTCTTGGGAGGAGACTGCCACTTGACCTCCAAGAAGTTGCACCAGCCATGCTCATCACATGCCAAGCTCAATGATCTAGGTCGGAGCTAGAGGCAGTTTCCATTCTAAGTCATCAAAAAAAGGCTATAGAGATACCTAGAAGAACTAGATACCTAGAATATAACCACAGAGCCCAGCTTTGAGGGCCTAAGCCTTAAATGTTCCAGGTGGGAGCTTGAGCTCATGAAGAACCTCGGGTTCTATAGGGAGTGAGGTAAAACAAAGTCTCACTGAAGCCATCACTAAGTCTCAGTAAGTCTTTAAATGATTGGTCTTCTGCCAGGCTAGTGTGGCTCAGTGGATGTGTCGACCCATGAACCAGGAGATCATGGTTCAATTCCTGGTCAGGGCACATGCCCAGGTTATGGGCTCGATCCCCAATAGGGGACATGCAGGAGATAGCCAATAGATGATTTTCTCTTATCATTGATTTTTCTATCTCTCTCTCCCTCTCCCTTCCTCTCTCTGAAATCAATAAAAATAAAAATAAAAAATGATTGCTCTTCAGACCAATACTTGTCACTAAATGGACCACTACCAGTTTTGATAGCTTGCCAAGGTCCAATGGGGGCTACCCCGAGGATAAGGCCTAAGCCTGCACAAGAGTTTCACTCACCAGATCGCTGACAAGTGGCAGTGGCTTTTTTCTGCGTAGATCTGGCATGCTGTCAATGCCATAGAGCCCTCCTGCTGGCCTGAGGAGGGAAGAAAATATGTCAGAACCTTTAGTCCTGTCCATTTTCCTTGCTCACCTTTTCCCCGGAGGAAGATATGCTTTCAAGGGGGGTAAGGAAGACAGGAAGTGAGGGAAATAAAGCCATGGGATGATGAGCAATGGAATCTGCTCTCAGAGTGCACCTACCTGTCTCCTTCTATGGTTTTAGCCAAGGACCTAGAGATCTTTTATCCCATAGTGACAGGCAACTCTGTTTATCTGAAGGACCTTATGCTCCATAAGGCAAGGTGGGAATTGATGGTTAATCTTCTCTACACTCAGGCCAGAGACACTGCTCCCCCAAAATAAGCCTTTCTTGGCCTGTGCTAGAACAGAGCTCATAGGAATAGCTCTACAGAAGAGCTGCTGCCTAGGTGAGCAAGACTACCAAATAATGACATGTACAAGGAGATCGTCTCCATCCTGAGGAAAAAGGGTCCTCATGGAAAAAGGAGCCCACATCATAAAGTGGAGGCAGGGGAGGTGGGATGGAGACTTCTAAAAGACCATTTAGGAAGGAAACAGGAAAAGAACTCAGAGTGTCCGGTCTATCCCTATGGACATATCAACAGGGACCAAGAAAAAATTATAGCTGGAGATTTCTAAAATTTTTATATTTTTTCTATGTTTATTAACTTTATTGTTCTTTGTCTGTTCTTCCATAACAATATCCAACAAAAATACAAAGAATGTCCCCTAAAGAACACCATTTTCACATTGAGATAAGCCAGATTTTATCCCAAACTCTTCTACTAACTCTCTACATGTCCTCTGCCAAAATTCCTTCCTCTTTTGGGGTCCTGGTGTCACTTCTATAACACGAGGGGGATGAACTACAGTATTTCACTGACCTTTTGGAAGCTGCCATTCTTAGTCTCAATGAAAAGAACTCATGCATTTGGTTTTAATGAGAGCAATGAGGTGGGAAATGTGGGGTGGCTGGGTTGTACACCACAGCTAGTCTGAAAAGAGGTATATCTCAGAAGAATAAGAAGGTACTGCCAGCAATATAGGCCAAAAATTTTTTTTAAAAAAAATGGAGCCACAATTTGGGTCAAAGCCAGGAGTTGGAACAGGCAACCTGATATGTTGATTTCTAATAAAGTCGCTTCTTGAGTACAGGCAGTGAACTTTGTTTTCAATGAGACTACCAGACCCAGGGACGTTCTAAACTTGTGGCAGCTTCCAAGGACTGAGCTGAAGGAAGGAAAGACAACAATAGGGAGGCATTTAGAAAATCATTGCATGGTTCCCTTTAAAAATAGCTTGGATATGTTCCATTGGCATGCATGTATTTTACAATTATTAGAGGGAAAAAGCTAAAGCCCTGAAGAAGGGTTGTTGAAGAAACAACTAGTGCCACGAGTTTGTGGCTAATTCTAAAAACTATAATATATACCATTTAAGACATGAAGTTTTTTGCAACATAGATGAGCTTTTGACGAAAGAAGGGTGGTTCATTCACATGATTAACTCTTGATTTAAAAGACAAATCACAAGGAAAAGGAGCACATAAAAATGTAATAGATAAAATTATGATCTGATCTTTTTTCTCCTCTGGTCATGAGGGAGAGGAGGCAGCCACTGAGAATTCTAATGTCAGAAGGTCTTTGTGGGAGAGAAGAAAGATCCTGACAAATAATGAATTGGCAGTACATGTGGGGGAAGTGGAGGTAGAGAAGCACTTAAATTATTTTCTCTCTTAAGAACAAGCAGCAGTTGAGCAGTTTAAAATGACTCTCTGCTGCAGTCACATGGGTCTGGAACTCCCAGATAAGAAGCACAGACAAACACACAGAGCTCATAAGGGATGCTACTTATGTCTTGACTAGAGTGAAATGGAACAAGTAGGTGACTCACAACAGCTAAAGCAGGACAGAGCCCAGGGAGAAATCTAATCAGCTACTGCTATCTTCTACCTAGAGTAATCACCCCTATGCAATGGATCAGAAATTCCACAGGCAAGAATGGGGGAGCCCTCAAGCCCCCTCCCCTGCTCCAGAGAAACCACTTGGCAAAGCTCTCTCTTCTTCTGCCTCTAAGTAATCAGTTTGCAGAGTTCTCTCCTCTGACCCAGAGAACCAATCAATCCCTACAGTGGAACATCTTCCTTCCCCAGGATCAAGCGTATGAAGTTGTTTCTCCTACTTCCCAGGGGAAAAGCTAAAAGCAGCATTAGGGTCTATACAAGATCCACAGAAACCTTGCAAGAATCACTTACCCTTCTGGGAGCCACTGGGGCAAAGAGGAGTCGCCATCATCTGGAATCTTTAAAAACAGATAGAAAAAAGTTAGATCCTAGGAAAGAAAGGAGACTGCCATCTTTCTTTGGTAAGGCAGTGAGCAGTAAAGTAGGAAGCTCAGAGGAGTGTAGGTCACATACACCATGTGGTGACATAGCTAGCCTGATGTCTAGGCCAATGCCCTGATGAGCCAAAGGCAACAAGCAGGCTGCTGAAATGAGCAGTACTTCATCTCCCCTCTCCCGAATGAATAGGAAGAATACAAGGCCAAGCTCACTGAAATCTTTGGGCTAAAGTCTACTGGGACTGTGAGAGCTGCCAGAATTTATATCCCCCCACACACAACCCATTAGTATATGTAACAGTAACCAAAGCTGGGAAAAGGATCCATTTAGGCTTCCAGGCCTCACTGAAGCAAAAAGACAACTTCATATAGAATCTGGTCTTCTTCCAGTTATATTCCTAAATTCCTTTGGCTGCCACAGTCAACCTGGTCTTTCTAAATTCCTCTCATCTTGTGACTTGACTTGGCTTAGGTTCCTTGAAGCCCGAACTCACTGACACTGAGTTCACTCAACATTTGGTAAGTTCTATATTACCAGAGTATCCAAGACAGGTTAGACACTTGGATTATCACTCTGGTAAATTTTATGAGTTCTCTAATGAGAAGTTGAACATTGAGGTACCAAATAATTCAAGGAAGAAACAGGTTGAAAACAATTTTTAAAGGTTTCTGCACCAAAATACCCAAAGCAAATCCTTCAGACAGTGTACAGAGTTCCAAAGCTGCCAGGGCTCTCCTGAGAACCAATGGCAAATACTGTTTAGGCTCAAAGGACCCAGTGCGAGTAGGTCTGGGGCTTCCTGCCCTACCTTGTTCCCCTCCACCACCACCAACTTCCCTGCCACCTGAGACCTGGGCTCTCACTAACTATCCCGGAGCAAATGAGCTCCAGTACAAGGGAGGCACAAGTAAGTTGCTCTGGACAGGGGGTGAAGTTTGGGGAGTGCTAAAGATGTGAGAAGTTATAGATTGAATGAGGCAAGACAGAGAAGAAAAGGGAGAGGTATGACAGGTTAATGGATGATGTAAAAGCTGGCAAGAACTACCTTAGGTCAGCTCAAAATGAACTTTGGATTTAGGACTCTTCTCAGGTTGTCTGTGCCCTAGTCAAGCCTATCTGCCTCCTGCCCTGGCCTGTGGGTAGGATACTGGTAAAGAAAGGGCCAAACCCAAAAGGCAGCCAGAAGTAGCTGAAGCAAGTCTCCTAAGGTTGTTTTGTGAGTGATGGCCATCTCTAAGTCCCCAGGTCCTACCAACCAGAACTTCTATTCCCTTTGAAAAAACAATTGCTGTACTGAGCAGATTTTTATGTCCTACCTAGAATTAAATGCTTGCCAGAAAGCACTGGGCTTAAGGAAACAAAGTCACAAAGAGTCTTTGGGAGCCAGGGTTCATTGGCTCAGATCATACACATTTCCTGTGCTTAGGGATACATGGGTCTGCAGAAGCCTGCAGACACAGCAAACAGCATGCACACACAGGGCACTGAAGGAGGGTCAGGGGAGTGAAAGGAGATCTAGACAAAGGACCTACAGGAGGTACATTCGTAGACATAACTTGTGCCAGAGGGAAACAGGTGAGCGTGGATCCTGCTCTGTGGAGGGCTATAGCACCTGTGCGCACACCCTTTTGGGGAGGATTCAGTGTTCACTAGGGCCCAAATCACAGACAAAGCAAACCCTCTCAGTCTTCAAGAACCAGTGCTTGCAGGCACCGAGCATTAGTATAGTATGCATTCACATGGCATAAGGGAACCACATCAAAGGTCTATGGAAGCTTGTGCTCACAAGAGGCCAGGAAATCTGCTCAGAAGCACATTCACACTTAGGGCCACAGGCAAGAGGAACAAAATGCCTGCAGCAACACCTGCTCTCAAATACAAAGAGTATATGCATGCTGGGCTCAGAGAGGGTTTACAGCATATGCCAGGCACAGCAACAAGTAGAAAATGGACACACAAAGTAGGAGAGGAGGAGGGCAATCTGGGGAGTCAAACTGAGTACAAATATAAGCACACACATGCCACATTGAATGTGCACCATGCTGGCACACAGATTCTCACACCGTCCTCCAGGGATGTCTGCAGGAGCACACACAAGCACGGAGCATGCACACACACTGCTTTTAGGAAAAACAGACTATCTGCCCAGCCAAAGCTCAGAGGCACAGATCATGTGCACTAGGCGCACACACACAAACACCCGGGGCCAGGAGAGAGGGGTAGAGAATAGACAACAAAAAGGCCCCAAAAGGCCAGACACACAACCTGAAGGGCTCCTCGCTTTCCTTCTGCAAGGAGAGAAAGAGCAGAAAAAAAGGGCAGAGAGGTTAGTAGGTTCAGTCCTATAGCAGGGAACCCAAAGAAAATGCCAGCAAATCTCAAGGGACATGGAGGAGAGGGAGAGGTGCTCTGAACTGGGCAGTTCACAAAGCCCAGCTCCCAGAATCTTATATTGCTGGCCCCTGCTTTTATAATGTAGGACATACCAGGTTTGGCTACTTAAACCAAAGGACAAAGTCTGCCTGGGGATTCTAGTCACCTTTTGCCCTTTCCAAAGTAGCCTGCATGCAGGATCAGGGCCACCAGGGCCACCAGACCAGCTCTGTTGCCAAGGGCACTCCAACAGGCCATCTGAGCTGGCTGAGCACAGACTGAGTTTGTTCCTTCCTCAGAAGGTATATGAGCTCACTCTGGATCTGGGTAAGTCCTCAAACCCCAAAGGCCTGGTGGCTGAGCCCTTTCCATTTTAAAGCAGAGCTGGCCATGCATTTGCCCAGCAAGCCCTAGCCTATTTTCTCAGAATCGAAGGTAAGCTAGGTCATGTTAGGGCCTGGAGTTAAGGCCAGAACCAGGATGCTCAATGGCTATAGACTGGGGTTATCAACTGACCACTGCCCTAACCAACGTCACCATGATCTAGATGATAAAACTATGACTTCAATCTCAGGTCTGATTATTTATCACATATAGAACAATATTCCAAAGGAAATGAATGCTTCCAGAAGGATCCAAGTAAGCCACAATAGAGGAAGTATAAAGTTCAGAGGTAATTCTTCAGAGACTACATTGGCTTCTAGGCCACACATAGATAGGCCACACATAGACTTGCTTCTCTACAGAAAGTCCAACCACCTGGGCCCATTAGCTCCCCTCTACTTTCTTTTCCCTTCCCTTTAAAGCAGGGGTCCTCAAACTTTTTAAACAGGGGGCCAGTTCACTGTCCCTCAGACCGTTGGAGGGCCGGACTATAGTTTAAAAAAAAACTATGAACAAATTCCTATGCACACTGCACATATCTTATTTTGAAGTAAAAAAACAAAACGGGAACAAATACAATATTTGTATTTGCATGTGGCCCGCGGGCCGTAGTTTGAGGACCCCTACTTTAAAGACTCACTGGTGTTACATAACAAGTAGAAGGGAGAATCATAGAAACTAATTCATACGTTCCCAATTTTTCAAGCCATTCTGATGACCAAATGGGTCATGTCACCTGACAGAAGAATCAACTCAGGAACTGGAATCCTCCAGAACAGTGCAGCTACAGGAAGGTGGGTGAGATGAAAAAGGCACTTCCTGGATTGGGGGCAGAGGGAACACGTCTCCTCTACGTCTATTCCCTACCTCTAGGAAAGCACTCCATTGCTGTTTCCTTTGTTTTTGTGTGTGTATGTGTGTGTGTGGTGGGTTTTTTTTTAGCACTCTGTTGTTCCCTTTGAAAAGACAATTATTCAAGGAACACTTTAATTGACCATGTGACTCAAATTGGAAAGGTTTCTGTCCTCCTCCACTATCTTAAATACATTTTACCATGTCAACGTTACTTTGTGTCCTTTGGTTCTTCCCGGAGTTTCCCAGTATGCCTAAAGAATAAAATCCAATCTGCTGACAAGGCCATCAAGGCTCCCCCTGATCTGCCCTCTCACATCTACTGGGTTGACGCAGACTTAATTCTTAAGACTTAGCTCAAATGTTAAATGCCTTTGTAAAAGTTTCTTTATCTGCCTTTCCATCACGTGCCCTTGGTACCCACACTTTTAAATGCACACTTCTATAGCAGTATGTTGCTAGTACTGCTTCACTGTAATTATCTGTATAAATGTCTCCCTTTATACTCTGTTAATTTCTTGAGAGCAAGAATTTTATATATATATCTTAACTTCCTTGTACTTGGGAGTCAAAAGACTTGAGGCACTGATTTATTTAAGCCTGCGTTTCCTAATCTGTAAAAAGTAGGTAAGAAACAGCTACCTCCAGGGTTATTGCAGGGATTCCTTTCTTCAACAAATACTTACTGAGAACATACTGCACGCTAGGCACCAGCGATGCCGCAGTGAATGAAACAAACTCCCTGATCTTGAGAAGTTCTACTCTAATAGGAGGAGCAGACAATTAATAATGGTGGTGAAGATGACGATAAGAGCTAACCCTATGTGAACATATTATGTAACTGGCATTTTATTTAAATAAGTTCATTTATTTCTCATAACAACTCTCCTGGGTAAATACTATTAGTATCTCAACATTTTTGTTAAACTGAAGATCCGAGAGGTTAAAAAACTTGCTTAAAGTCACAGCAAGTGGCAAAGCCAAATTCAAACCAGGAATTCTGGTTCCATATCATGTGTGATAGGGGCTCTGCTAAAAACTGCAGGTTAGAGGCAAAGATAATGTCCCCTGTGATCATGTTACAGTTGCTATTAAAATTTCATAAAAGGTTATAGGAAGGCCTCCTTGATAAAATGACATCTAAGCAGAGACCTGAAGGAAATGAGTACAGAAGCTATTCAGAATTCTAGGAGGAAATTATTCCAGTCAGAGAACATGCAGTAAATGCAAAGCCTGAGGTTCAAGCATAATTGGTGCGAAGCAAGTGTGCAAGAGTGCCGGTTCCAATAGGGCTCTATCGGCCCTTATAAACACTGTGTCTTTCATTCTGAGTGAGACAGAAAAATCATTG